AAGGCCACCAAATTTGTCAAGCACAATTTGCCCCTTAGTGAAGCCATGTTGGCTGTCACCAATCACCTCCTTATCTTCCATGTGCCTTGGCATAGCTTCCAGAAGGATACGCTCCATGATCTTGCTGGGCACAGAGGTGACACTAACTGTCCTATAGTTCCCCGGGTCTTCCTATTTTCCCTTTTTAAAAGTGGTGGTTATGTTTTCCCTTTTCCAATCAGTGGGAACTTCCCTGGACTGCCACGATTTCTCAACTATGATGGATAGTGGCTTAGCCACTTCATCTGCCAGTTCCCTCAGGACCCGTGGGCGCACCTCATCAGGTCCCACGGACTTGTGCACCTTCAAGTTGCTTAGATGGTCTCGAACCTGATCCTCTCCTACGGTGGGCAGTTCTTCATTCTCCCAGTCCCTGCCTTTGCCTTCTGTGACTTGCGTGGTGTGGCTGGAGCACTTGCTGGTGAAGACTGAAGCAAAAAAGTCATTGAGTACCTCTGCCTTCTCCATGTCCCAGGTGACCATCTCTCCCGTATATATATGGAACATATGTAAATGGAAATATTTCCATCACATTAACAAAAACATAGTGATTAGAAGTCCAGCATGCAGCATATTTTCACAGAAAACAAATTATATCAAGAAGTTGCTGTCTCTCTCTGGTTTTTTTTCCAGGCTGAAATGCATACATTTTGTGGAAAAAACAGGGCATGCAACAGATGCATTAAATTGGCTCACTAAGAGATATCAAAGCATAGTTGTGATTATGGAGACAGGAAGTAGAGTGACTCTAATGGGACTCCCAAGGACTCTCAGTGGAAGATTATTTAACATTTTCATCGATTAATCAGACAATAATATTCATGTAAAGCTTGCCATTAACAGATGACTTTATTAAAGGATGGCATTACTTTCCTGTTATAGATCGATTCGATTTGCCTTGCAGTCAAACAAAATAATTTCATTGTAGCTAACTGCACCATAATACATCTGGGAAAAAAAGAATATGCCTATATGCTCACGTTAAAAAAATGCCTTGGAAAGCAGTAATCACAGGAGAACATACAGAAAACTGTCTAAATAGGATTCCTTGGTGAAATGGTATGGCAAAAGGGATTAGCATGACCTTTTGGGGGTCTGTAAAGGGGAACACAAAGGAGAAGGTAGGAAGTTGCCTCACCTCTGTACATCTACTACTGTAACACTAATTTGGTATAATTTACTTCCTAATTTGGTGTATCTGCTTACAACATCAAAATACTGGAAAGCATTCAAAGGAGTGTCACAGAAAGTGAACTAGATGCTGAAAGGTTAGCATTATGATAGGTGTCTTACAGGGCTTGGGATATCCAGTTTGTTGAAGAGAAGTTTCACAGCTGATTTCATTAGTGCATCCTGGTACCTGCAAATGGAAAAGATATCCAAGAGTGGGTGCAAGTCAATCTCCATGAAAAGATGTACTAACATCCAGTGACTGGAATTTTAATTCAGACAAACTGAAAAGAGATACAATTTTTTAGTTGCAAACAAGTCACACTGCTGGCTGATCTCATCATGAGTCATCAAATAACATATATGCTAAAGCCTTGAAATCTGTGAATGTACCAGTTCTTCCATTCTTCTCTTTCCTTGTGTGACATGATAATAACAAGTTTCCTGAATTGCTCTCAATATACCCATAAGACATGCTGGAATGGTTTAGCCTCACCGAGTTGTTGGGGTTTCACAAAGAAATATCTGCGCATCACCAATATGACAGACAGATCGTTCTAGCCTTACACTTCATAAAAGCATTACCCAATATATGGCATTTAAAGAACAGAAAATCAAAAACTAAGATTATTTACAGCAGTCACTAACTTACTGCCTAAATTAGGGCACTTAAGATAGGCTACATCTCCTCTAATCTTACACAGCTGTGGCCACAGGCTCCCTTTCCAGTCAATGGAGGGAACTGAGGGAGCAGTTCACCTGGGCTACTTGGCAGTCATCTGAAGGTGGACCATACCATACAAATGTTTACAATATCGGTAGTAGGCGAGATGAATCCCAGCCACGCACCTCTCATCTCCCACAATGAAACCTGGGATGTACAATAAGGAGCATTTGCATCTCTGACATAATTACTTTGGTATTAGGCAAGTAACAAATTTCTGTTAAGAGTTAATGGGAGGGCTCTCTAATTCAAGGCCTTTTGGCACACACAAGCCCTGGCATCAGATGGAATCTGAGACTAGCAGCCGGGGTCAGCATTAACAAAATGAATGCATAAATTTCAGAATAAAAACAATGCATAAAATTTAACTATTCTTTTGTGGCATAGCTGCAAAATGCACTAAATCCAAAAGGTACTTATGTAGGCAACACCAACTGACTCTAGAGTGAAGACGTAGCCATGGTAAACACAGGACAGGGATAAAGAGACCTCAGTTGTGCAAGGCACGTTTTCAGCAACCCGGACTTGGTAACACCCGAGTGTTACTCGACCACACTGGAGTAGCAGCAGTGCCAGGGGGCCACTGAGAGCAGCCACCCCAGCCAACGTGCTTTGCAATATTAAAAGAGAAAGGGATTTTAAGGCAGGGGGCATCTTTTATCAGTCTAACTTAAAAAAAAAACCAAGAACAGAACATCTTCAGATCTTAAGACTATCATGTCTACAATTACGATAAAACCTATCGTATTCTGTTTCATGTGAAGTGTGGGAGCTGGCCGACCATGTGCCATGGTGATGGGCCAAGACCTGGCCCAGTCAAACCCTGGTCAAAAAAAATGGGGGCTCCCCACAGGAACGGTAGCTGCCTTCAGTGACAGCCTGAGGAAAGCCCCATGGATGGTCACACACGGTTTCGTTTTCCGTGGAAGATGAGGTGAGAAAGAAAGGGCGCCGGATAGGGAGCAGAGCAGGGATGAGCGCACCTGGGGGCCGGGAAGATCAGCCTTGCCCCGGCTCTCTCCTCAGGAACCCAGACAAAAACCTCTCACAACCAGGCAGGCAGATCCCGCCCGCCGCCTCTCGGGCGGCCAACAGCCCCGAGGCCGATCCTTACGGGAGGGGCTCCCGGCCAGCCCCCAGCCCCGCCTTCGTCCA